GGAAAAGCCTGGGTCCTAGAGGCCCAGTGTTAAGTCACTGATTCAATCAATCTGAAGCCCACCCCATGGGGTGGACTTCCAGGTATACAAGCGCAAGAATATTCCAGTTACTTAAGCTCGACATGAGTTAGATTTTCTATTACCTTCTGCCAAAGGCCTCCAAAATAATATAATCAATGAGTACCTAGTGATCATTGATTTCATTTTTCTTAAGAAGAATCTGCAATCAAAACAAATGACTGTGTAAACTCGTATCAGTTCCCCACAAACAATAGTCCGGGGATGCATTGCTACTACCTGAGCGCATCAGTCTCAGGGAGAACACTCATTCACAGTGACCTTCAGAGCTAACGCACCTGCCTCTTGAAACCAAGCAGAAGCTTCCAGGAAAGAAGAGAAACACATCAACGGTGCCACTGACGAACAAATACCAATTACTGTAAAGTCTGCCGCCCTGGGTTTCTTGAAGGCCAGCACGTGTGCAACAGCACGACCCTGCAGCTCCAGCGAGGACATGCTGCCACGCGCTGCCCTGATGGCATCCAGATTCCTGCCGCTCTTCAATCTTCAACAATCCTCAAAGGCTTGTTGTGGGGCTTCTTCACCAGGTTGCCCCTTTTTGGTGTCTTATATAAACACTGTCTACCCCAGGGGTTATAGCAGGAAGTCAGGCCAGTGGGGAAGGGAGGGTCTGCTGCTGCCACAGTTTCCCTCCTCTCACATGGGTAGTCAAACCACCCAGGTCACCTGAGTGGATAAAGGTCGGGGTCCGTAAAGCCTCCATGAAGGCTCTACTCGTGGTGCAGAGTCATTACTAACTGCAAGGTCAGCAGTTTGAAATCATCAGCTGTCAGACAGACGAGGCATTCTATTCCCGTAAAGAGTTACAGTCTGGGAAACCCACAGGGACAATCCTACCCTGTCTGATAGGCTCACGATGAGTCAGAATTGACTAACGGGCAGTGATTTGTGTTTTTCTGGGAGGCCCTGCTCCACCACTTGTCTGTCAGTTTGAAGTACTGTGGTGGCGTACGTGTTGCTGGGATGCTGGAAGTGATGTCACTGGTATTTCAGGTACCAGCAGGGTCAACCCAAAGTGAATGGGTTTTAGCGGAGTTTTCAGTCTGAGAACAGATTACAAAGAAGGAATCGGCTGTGTCCACTTCAGAAGAATTAGCCACTGAAAACCCTACAAATTGCAGCAGAACATTGCCAGAGATAGTGCCAGGAGACGGGCTCCTCGGGTCAAGAGGCATTCAAACTACGACTGAGGAAGAGCTACCTTCTCAAAGCAGAGCTGACCACAATGACTCGAATGGAGTAAAGTCTGCAGGATCTTCATTTGCTGACGGGTATGACTCAAAATCAGAAGAAACAGCTGCAAACATCTATTGAGAATTGGAAATTGCAATGTAGGAAGTATGAATGCAGTAAAACTAGAAGTCATCACAAATAAGATGGAATGCATAAAGATCTATAGTCTACTGATAGGATAGCTGAACTGGAACTTACAGGCTATTTTGAATCAGAAAATTATATGGGTTACTATGCAAGGAGTGACAAATTAAAGAGGAATGGCATCGTGTCATATTCACCATCAAAGAGGACATTTCAAGAACTATCTTGAAGTATAATGTTGTCTATGATAGGATAATACCTATACTCATACAAAGAAATCCAATCAATACAACTATTATTCAAATTTATGTACCACCGACTAAATCTAGTGATGAAGAAATTGAAGAAGTTTACCAAACACACAATCAAGATGCAATGATAATTATTGGTGGTTGATTGAAAAAGTTGGAAACCAGGAGGAGGAAACAGTAGTTGGAAATGATGCTCTTGGTGAAAGAAAGGATACAGGAGATCAAATTATACAATCTTGCAAGACCAACAATTTATTCACCACAAATACCTTTGTCAACAACACAAGCTGTAACTATGCATGCGGACTTCTCCAGAAGGAATACACAGAAATCAAATTGACTACATCTGTTGGAAGAGATGACGGGGAAGTCCAGCAGCCAAAACCAGGCTAGGGGCCAACTGTGGAATAGATCATCAATCGCTCATACATAAGTTCAGGTGAAATCTAAGAAAAATTTAAATACTAGCAGGGTCAAATAAAGTGAACAAGTTTCAGCAGAGCTTCCAGACTAAAAACAGACCATAAATATGGCTGCCCGTTTCTGAAGCATCAGCCACTGAAAACCTCGCGGACAGCAGCAGTACATGAATAGGGAGCTGCCAGAGGTTCCGGCTGGACTGTGAAGAGGATGTGGAACAAGAGACAGCATTGCTGATGTCGGATGGGTCTTACCTGAAAGCAGAGAATGCCAAAAGATGTTTACTTGTGTTTTATTGACTATGCAAAGGTATTAGACTGTGTGGATCATAACAAACTATGGATAACCTTGAGAAGAATGGGAATTTTATAATACTTCATTGTGCTCATGCGCAACTTGTACATGGATCAAGAGGCAGGGGTGCAAATGGAACAAGGGAATGACGCACCCTTGCTTGCTGAAAGTGAGGAGGACATGAAGCACTCGCTGATGAAGATCAAGGATTGCAGCCTGCACTATGGATTACAATTTAATGTAGAGAAAACAAAAGCTCTCACAACTAGACCAATAGGTAACATCATGATAAACAGAAAAAATCGAAGGTGTCAAGGATTTCATATTGCATGGATCAACAATTAATGCTCATGGAAGCGGTAGTCAAGAATTCAAACACATCGCACTGGGTACATCTGCTGCACAGGCCACTTTAAAGTGTTGGAAAGCAAGGATATCATTTTGAGGATGAAGGTGCTCCTGGCCCAAGCCATGCTCATTTCATGTGCCTCATATGCATATGAAAGTTGCACACTGAATAAGGAAGACTGAAGGAGAATCAATGGCATTTGAATTGTGGTGCTGAAAAAGAATACTGATATTACCATGGACTTCCAAAAGAGGACATTTGTCTTAGGAGAAGTACAGCCAGAACACTCCTTCGAAGCAAGAATGGATAGGCTTTGTCTTGTGTATTTTGGACATGCTATCAGAAGAGACCAGTCCCTGGAAAGGGCATCAAGGCTGGTAAAGTAGAGGAGCAGGAAAAAAGAGGACGGTCTTTGACAAGAAGGATTGGCACAGTGGCTCCAGCGATGGGCTCAAACACAACAGTTGTGGGCAGAGAGCAGACTGGACAGTGCTTTGTTCTGTTCTTTTGTTCATAGAGTCGCTATGAGTCGGAACCAACTTGATGACAGCTCCTAAAAACACCAAACAAGGCCCTACTGCTCAGATTCCCATTCCCACCTTGGGGACAACTGAGGGAGGGCTAGGGGGTGTGAAACAGAGAAAGAACAATGTCTGGCTGCAGACATTGCCCATCTTTCTCCGTTCCCAGCCTCCATAATGATGACAATGATTGGGGTAGATGGCTGACTATGGTCTAAAAGGAGACGGTTCTCACCCTTCTCCAAGCACAAAATGCAATGATCAGGATGTGGCTCAGGATACGTGTCAGTAGCAATGGGTACCACCAAGTATTATATCTTTAGACCCATTCATTCATCAAATGTATAGCTTGGTGGTTTGTACATTATAGAGCAGCGGTTCTCAACCTGTGGGTGGTGACCCCTTTGGGGGTCGAATGACTCTTTCACAGGGATCACCCGATTCATAACAGTAATCCAATTACAGTTATGAAGTAGCAACAAAAATAATTTTATGATTGAGGGTCAACACACGATAAGGAACTGTATTAAAGGGTCACAGTATTAGGAAGGTTAAGAACCACTGTTATAAAGGAAGGCATGAACTGTAAGAGCCTGTTCTCCAAAATCAATTATTTAACATGGTGGTCCCTTCTACATTCTAGTGGCTGCCTACAGACATAGCCCCAGCAGGCTGAATCTGCATGGAGGCGGCACTCTTTGGGGTATGGTGTCGACTTGCACTTCTATGTTGGACTGCCAGTATTGAATTATGCACCTGTGACTTCCCATCATTTAGGAGACTGTGTGGCCAGGAGCCTGCCTAATGCTAAGCCAAGATACAGACCAAACTCAAACATGACTGACGAAGGAAAGGACGGGGAGAGTAAGAGGAAGGAGAAGGGTATCGGGTCTGTCAGTCGGTGGTTTCTGTTTCATCCCAGCCCATCTCTCAAAGCAGAGCCAATCGAGGCAGTGCCCCACTGCCCCTGGAGCCTGTGCCTCCGTGCCCACCTCCAAACACGTGGACATTCTCCTTGAGCACTGTCGTCATCTGGAGCTCCTGAATCTTTGAGCAGTGACCCTTGGGAAGCAAAACAATGATGTCCACGTTCTTCGCCCCTTGAACACTCTCAATGGCAGCACTCCCCGTGTCCCCAGAAGTTCCTGGATGGGAAGAAAGGAGAACGCCCCCCTTTAGAATAAACACACAACAAGCCGCCAATAAAATGATAAAAAAAAAAGGAACAAACACACAAAATAAGTCCACCGCCATTGGGTCTATTCTGGCTCACAGTGACACTACAGGGGGGAGTGAAACTACTCGCTAGGGTTTCTGCGACTACATTGTCATGGGAGCCCACAGCCTCATCTGTCTCTCACAGAGCAGTTGGTCAGTATGAACTGCCCACCTTGAGATTAGCTGCGCACCACCTGACGCACGGCATCAAGAGAGATGAAACAGGAAAGAAAAAAAAGTGGTCCTTAAATCATTGTTGCACATGTGGCGACATCCACTTTCAAATACCTTGAGAATCGAAACCCAGTCCTTGAACCTCCAGTAGATGCACAGATTGGATTGAATTTGGTACCACATAATGTTAGCAACTTCGTGTATTTCAGCATGTTAGCCTGAGAGTTCTCTGTAAGCTCACTGTCACTGAATCAATCCATAGTGACCCTGTAGGACAGTACAACTGCCTCTGTGTGTTCCCAAACTGTAACTCATTGCAGGAATATGATGGGGCACACACACACCCCAAAAAAACCCAGATTTTTCCCCCAAAGGTATGTATTTAATTTTTTTTTTTTTTACAGAACAACTTTATTACCTTCAAAATACTCTCCATTATACTTAATACATTTGTCAAATCTGTGATTCCATTCTTGGAAACATTTTTCAAATTCATCTGTTTGGAAGGCCGATAGCATCTCCCGTGTTTTTTTTCTTCACCTCTTCTATGACATCAAATCGCTGTCCTTTCATGTCCCTCTTCATTCACGGAAACAAAAAGAAGTCACACAGACCTATGGCAGGTAAGTATGGTGTATGGGGCAAGAGAGGCATGCTGGTTTTTGCCAAAACCTGGCACATTGAGATGGCTGCATGAGCAGGTGCATTGCTATGGTGGCAAAACCAGTTCTCCATCTGCCATAAATCAGGCCTTTTTGTTGCATGTTACAGCAATCTTTTCAGAACCTCTAAATAGAAAACTTGATTAACAGTCTGACCTGGTGGAATAAACTCCAAATGCACTATGAGTCAACATTTTCATCCCTTCGGGAAGTTGATGGCTGTCCAGAACGAGGTTTATCATCAATCGACATTTCACCTTCTTTGCAATGAGAAACCACTCGTACACCTGAGGTTTTCCCATAGCACTGTCCTTGTAAGTTGTGTTCAATATCACAAAAGTCTCTGCAGCATTTTTCCAGAGCAGGAAACACAATTTCACATCTGCATGCTGTTCTCTTAAATCAGTCATCACAAAAAATGAGGTTTGAGAAAACTGCTTTTACAAAAAAATGCACTGTGACCAGAGAGAACCTTCCCAGGCAGTGCCACTGTGTGCACTAACTCAGAGCCAGCTGCACATCTCTCTCCCTTGGAATGGCAGGTGGTTTTGAACTGCAGACATTGCAGTTAGCAACCCAACACATAACCCACCAGGCCACCAGGGCTCGTACGGAATTATCTACAGCCTCTACCATACGATTAAAGGGGTCCACAGCACAGCACAACACAGCACTCCCAGAGAGAGAAGCCATGGAGGGGGCCTGTGAGTGGGCTTGCCCACATCTGGGCACCAAGGGACCCCAGCCCTCACCATAATGAAACCCACCTACAACCACGGTGATGTGCTTCTTCCTCTTCTCCAGGAAGTACTGCAGAAACTGCCCTGTGCAGCACAGGGACAGGTCTTTAAACGCATATGTGACCCCATGCCAAAGCTCCAACACGTTCAGTCCGTTCCTCAACCTGGACAGATGGACCACCTCTGGGTGACGGAATCTGCGGAAGGCTCGGTCGATCAGATCTGTGAGCGTGAGGAGAACGCAGCAGCGCAAGGAGGTTATCTCATGCTCTAGTCCTTCCGCAGCCGCTTACATTTTAACAGCTCTATTCCTACCCCATTCTGACTCCTGTCGACCCTAGAAGACAGAGAACTACCCCGTAGGGTTCCCACGGCTGTCATCGTTACATTAAGCCGCCACGTCTTTCTCTCATCCCACCCCTCAAACTCATTGCCGCCCAGTTCATTACAACTCGTAGCGACCGTATAGGAAAGGGCGGAACTGCCCCTGCGAGTTTCCGAGACTATAAAGCTTTGTAGGAGGAGAGAGCCTCATAGTTGTCCCAAAGAGCTGCTGGTCATTTCGATCTGCTGACCTTGAGATTAGCAGTCCAACATGCACACACTATACAACCCACTATGCCACCAGGGCCCTTCCAGCCCCTACACCCAAATCACAGGAACATTTTCATCTTAAATGACACTATTCATATATGTAACTTATAATCCTAGGGAAGGGTCTGAAAACACATGCACCAACCTACTTACAGATCCCTCAAGCCCATGGCTTGGGGGAGCTGTAAACTTTTAAAAGTTTATTTACTTAAAAAAAAATTTTAAGGCCACTCTGCGCATGTATTCCAAAAGGGGTTACATTAAACAATTATATAATAAATTGATGTCTCAATTCGATTTTGCTTTGTGGAGGTGGAAAATGCATTTCCTTCTTAATTTGTGGTTTCGCTGAATCTCACACGGGTGATGCTGGAATTATAATCCTACTTAAATTTTAGCATGGGAACCCTGGTGACGTAGTGGTTATAAGACGGGCTGCTAAGCTGTAAGGTCTGCAGTTCTAAACCACCAGCTGCTCTAAAGGAGAAATGCGAAGCCTTTACTCCCATAAAGAGTTACTGTCTCAGAAACCCACAGCGGCCATTCTTTCTTGTCCTAAAGGGGTCGCTATGAGTCCAAATCAGCTCGATGGCAATGAGTTTGCATTTTTTTCAAATACTTTTATTGGGGGTTCTTACATCTCTTATCACAATCCATACATTCCTCTAATGTGTCAAGTACATTTGCACATATGCCGCCATCATCATTTTCAAAGCATTCTCTTCCCACTTGAGCCCCTGATTTCAGCTCCCCAGAGTTTGCATTTTTAAATTGGGGCAGTCTACAACAGTACTCCCCAAACTTCAACAAATCACCTGGGATCTTGCTAAAAATATATATATATATTCTGGTTCATTGGCTCTGAGGGGGTCTGGGGTTTCCAATAAGTACCCAGGCTGTGTAATCACTGCTGGTGATCACAATGTTATGGATTAGATTCATGTTACTCAACGTGTGGTCTATGAACCAGTGTTGCCTGGTTACTTGATTTAAAAACAACACCAACAACAGCAGCTGTCAATCAAGTGGACTGACTCATGGTGCCTATGCGTCCATGTGTCTCTGAGCAGAATTGCACTCCACGGAGTTTTCCAAGGCTGATTTGGGGAAAGTAAACAGCCACGCCCTTCTTCCCAGGGGTCTCTTGGACTCCTTGGGCATTTGATGGAAATGCAGGATTGTTAGGTGGGGCATCTAAACATATTAGTTGGGGACACTTCCAAACCCCTCTTAGAATGACCATTTGTGGAAATAGTAAAAGCCATCTTGGGGCTCTGGGCAGTTTAAATGCATGAAGGAGGCCTTTCAACATGAACCCACTGAAGTTGAGGGTGAGATGCCTGGGTTTCTGAAAAGCAACTGAAAGGGAATGCGTGCTCTGCGCCTCGTTGTGGCAGCCAGCTCACCGGACGAGCTCTAGGGAAACTTCCAATGTTGAGATTCCGGACTCGGGAAAAATCCCTCCACGTTTGGGGTCTGAGACAAGAACCATCCTACCAGTTGGGCACCTACGGGAGCCTGGACTGGCAGGGGCCCGGGACTCACCATGTAGGTCATCTCTTGGAATGAGCTCGGGGTCAATGAAGAGGGCACAAAGCTCCTTCACCAGGCCAGGGTAGGAGAGTGTGCTCCACTTACGCAGAGTCTCTGTGTCCAGCTGAGGGAGCTCCTCGGGCATGAAGAGGCCCCCATCGGGCGCGTAGCCGGAGAAGAGGGCCCCCTCAAAGTCCACCCGAGGGGCCATTCCCCTGGTGCTGACGTACCGCATGATCCTGGAGGTTTGAAAGGGGGACAGATACAGAAGGTCTCAGTTCCTGTCACCCCATGGAGCAAGGCCGACGCACCCAAGGCCCTTCAGGTAACAGTTGGTCTACCCCTCACTGCGGTGGCAGCAGGGCAGGGCAAGTGACATGATTCTTGGTAGTCCAGACTGGTGGGGCTGGAGTCCTGTATCATTTCATGAAATCAAGCTTCTGGAAGGAATCCCTGAGTGGGTGAAACTGGTTAATGCTTGGAAGTACCTAGAGACTCCTTGGAGAAAGCACCGGCGACATACTTGCCTAAAACCAGCCACTAAAGACCCTCTGGGGCACAGTTCTATCTGACATCCATGACTATGGTCTTCCCATTGAGAACCACTCCCCTAACTGTAGCCCAGAATAATAATACGAAGGGCTGACCCTCTGCCCTTGGTGGTCTGCTGTTTATCGCCATGGAGTTGGCTCTCAACTCATGGTGACACCATACACAATGGAACAAAGTCTACCAGTCCTGCACCTTCCTCCTGATCCACTGTGGATCCAATCGTTGTAATCCACAGTTTCCATCAGCTGATTTTCAAAAGTAGGTCTCCAGGCCTTTCATGCAAATCCATCCTCGTCAGGAAGCTCTGCTGGAAGCGGTACAGCATAACAGCAACGCGCAAGCCTCCACTGACAGATGGGTGTCGGCTACACGTGAGGCGCACTGGTCGGAAATCCAACCCAGTCTCCAGCATAGACAGTGAGAGTTCTGCCCTCAACTACTAATGCCTCAGTCCCAAATCCAAACCTTCTAGTATGGACTCAGTTTTGACTCATAGAAACCCTATAGAGCAGCAGTTCTCAACCTGTAGGTGGAGACCCCTTTGGCAGTCAAACAACCCTTTCACAGGGGTCACCCAATTCATAACAGTAGCAAAATTATAGTTATGAAGTAGCAACAAAAATAATTTCATGGTTGCGGGGGAGGGTCACCACAACATGAGGAACTATATTAAAGGGGCGTGGCATTAGGAAGATTGAGAACCACTGCCATTCTTTCCAAGGTGTCCTGATGGTGTAGTGGGTTATACATTGGGCTTTTAACCACAAGGTCATCAGTTTGAAACCATCAGCCACTCCTCGAGAGAAAGATGAGGCTTTCTACTCCCATAAAGAGTTACAGTCGCAGAAACCCACAGGGGGAGTTCTACCCTGTCCTCTAGGCTTGCCATGAGTCGAATCGACTGGATGGGAGTGAGTTTGAATCTCGTTTGACAGGATTCCCAAGGCTGTAAATCATTTATGGGAACAGACGATCTCGTGTTTCTCCCCAGAAGTGGCTGTTGGGTTTGAATCACTGACTCGGACCTTGAGGTTTTCAGTCTAGAGATGACCAGCCTAGAGACGACTGGACAGTGCCACCAGAGCTGTCATGCCTCCTTCATTGGTCCTATGTGGGCCCCAAGGCCTCTGGTTGTAGGGGAGGGGCCCCAGGACACTTGAACATCAGCTACATTCCCAGGAGCCAGTTGCTATAAGAGTATAAGCATCCATGTCAGTCAAAGAAGTAAGTCTGCAGTGTTTCACAAAACAGAATGAAAGCCGGCGGGGGAGGGGTAGAAGTATTTGAGTGTGTGGCTAGCAGGGGCTAGGGAGAAAGAGACCTTCAATAAGGTGGTGGTGGTCTGTAACTGTGGTACAAGTTAGAGCCAACACACACTACCCAAGATACCAGAATAACAGGCAGTATCCCCATACTCCAAAATCAATGTCAAACTGCCATCAAGCAGATTCTGACCCATAGAAGTGACCCTATCAGGACAGCACAGAGCTGCCCATCCCTCTCTGGCTTTCTGGGGCCTTCCATCTTTTCAGGAGCAGACAGCCTCAACTCTCTGCCAAGGAGCAGCTGGTGAGCACAAAGTGCTGACCGTGTGGCTTGCAGCTCAGTGTACCCCACTCCACCACCCGGGCCCCTTGGGATGACCACAGCAGCAGACTAAGAGCAGAGATAACTGAGTCGACACAGAAGCCCCTCCATGCACGAGGGGAGAAGCAGTCAGTGCTACGACAAACCGCAGAAGGAAATGTTTGCCGAGTGACCTGCTCTGGGTGGATGGACCACAGGCCACCGGGCTCTGGGCTCCATCTGGCCATCACAAGTTAAAGAGGATGTGGACAAATTGTCCCAAGAGCGACAGACATGGCCTCTGCACTGTTTCTGTACAGAACTGGGGTGTGGGCTCCAGGGAAGAGCTACCTCTGATCTGGAGCCTTTCACGCCAATACGACAGAAAGGACTGCCATCTAGGCAATTCTGACGCAGAGCAACGCTGGAGGGCAGACAGGTTCGGACTGCCCCTTTGGGTTTCCGAGACTGTACCTCTCTAAGAGAAGAGAAAGCCTCATCTTTCTCCCGCGGAGTGGCTGGTGGCTTCCAACTGCTGACCTTGAAGGTAGCATCCCACCTGGCAACCAACTACACCACCAGGACTCAGTTTGGATTCTGGGCCAGCCATTCAACAGAAAACAGTCAGACAGGACATCACCCCAGTCCCAACGCATTTCATCAGACTATTGTAAAGCACAGTGATACCATCTATGCCAAACACATGAAAATAGGAGAGAAAACTATATGG